ACAGCAACGTTGGGTCACATCCTTCTCCTGGACTAACACGACGGGAGCTGACCAGGAACTATCTGATTTCTCCACTATCCCTTCCTTAATTAGACCATCCATGACCTTTTCTATCTCTTGTCGCTTTGCTGGAGCTATTCTCCTTGGAGGGATCTTTATTGGATGGTGAATGCCTGTGTTTATTCTGTGCTCCACAAGATCCGTGCAGCTTAGGTCATGATCTCCTTTCGCAAACACGTCTGCATAATTTGCCAAAAGTTCTTTTACCTCAAGAGCCTGTGATTATGCCAAATGTTCTTTTATCCTACCCCAAATTATCTTCTCTGACATAAAGGGTATTGTAGTTACTTAAGTGCTGTGACATGCAGATCAACGGATGCTGCAACACTTATTGGAATCTGGCCTTTGTTGTTTCCAAATGTCATTTTATCGAAGTTAACTACACACTTCCTCGGTAGTAATTAGTCCAATCCAAATATGCATTGGTCTTCAATGTCAGCCAAGTATACTTTCTGTCTGTTCTTCATGCCCATGAGATCAATAGTTACCCACACTGGTCCCCACAACCTTGCATAATGTCCTGTCACACCACAGCTTCTGGTACTCCTTTGTGTTCCAGCACCTTGATACTCACAAGGGTTTGCTGAGATGTAGAATCAATGACAAAGTTGCACCTTTGGCCATCCAGCTTCCCTGCCACGTAGACACTATGTGTGCTTGCCATTTTACACTTAGCTGTTGGGACTTTCACTATAGGGGTTGGTGGGCATCCCTCAGCACCAACCACTACTGGTTTCCCGAAGCTGACTTATTAGTGGTATTCTTCTTACACTGGCTCCTCATATGTCCTTGCTCTCCACAGTTCCAACAACCTTTCTGGGTAGCAACCTTTTCTGCCGTAGCATCTCCCTTGTGTTGAAGTTTTCAGCATTGAGCTTTATTGTGCCAAGGATTGTTACAGTGCCAGCAAAGTCCCTCAAACTTCTCTGAAAGCCGACCTTTTCTGGCCTTGAATCCTGGTGACTGTACCAACCTTGGTACATTTGTGCTGGAATTAATGTAGGATTCAAATTCAAGAGCTCTGGCCATTGCATCCTGCATGGTAGAGGGGCGTGCTTGCTTCACTTGTATCTTTAGTTGTGGACTGTCCAAAGCGTCTACAAACTGATCCCTCAGCAACAACTTAAAGACATCGGGTGGTGCAGTTGGGTAGGCCTTGTGTGCCATACTTTCCGAGTCCTGTGCCAGCTCTTGCAGGCTCTCCCCTTTAGCATGGACTCTCGTCCTAAACCTAGCCCTGTATACTTCTGATTGATTTTGGGTTCCATACCTGAGTTCTTGAGCCGCTACCAGTTCTCTAGAGTTGTGTCTGGAGTTTCTCGAGTTATCTGGGAACCCCACGAACCCAGCAATATAGATATGTTATGTCTCCATTTGTTAGTTAATTTTCCGTAAATTCGTTCCGACGAAACTTTAGCGACACAAGTCCTTTCTTAAATAAAACTGGTTTATTCTTTCCGAATACAACTTTACCGATACACTTAATTTGAACAGTCGCTCTATAACAAACGCTAGAATGTCTCACGTGCTCGTGCTCGACAATACTCAATTACACACTCTCTGACTGCTGTTCAATTACTCATTACCTACACATTGTCCCGTCACGTTGTGACCATCTTATATATACCAGCTACCCCCAATCTAGTAATCTCCCGACAATTCACGAAGGTTCGAGAAAGAAGTGGCGTGATACTAGTCACGTGACCTCGCTGTCGCAACAGCTAGATAATTAAAGAAGCGAACAGTAGTGACAGTAAGTAAAGTGTGTGAATCACTGTGATTTTATAGCGTGTATTATAAAAGTTATTAAGTTTAAAGTGTCGAGAAACGTATTGACTCTGGAATTACTGTGTACTAAAAGTTTGCATCGAGAAAGAATAAACTGGTTTGATAGAGAAAGGACTTGTATCGCTGAAGTTCCTCGGAAAGAATTTCTACCGGAAATTATCTCACAAGAAGAAACGTAACATCCGTAAACTTACTGCTGACCCTTTTATGAATAATGTAGTCGAAAGCTATCTTGATATAATTAATGTAAATCGCATTTTTTTTCTGCCACTTACTGCTTCGTTGCGAACTATCAGTTTTGTTGTTAGAATATTTCAAATGTGAAAAAACTAGTGATTCTATTTAACTTTTTTCTCTTTTTCACACCACATCTAAAGATGGCGGGGCTACACTTAAATTTTAATCATTTGACTAACGTCCGGACTGGTATCTCTTTCTCAATAGGCGTAGTTGTAGTTTTAATTTTAAGATTACTTGACGAAATATTTCAGTCATTAGTATTACTGAGTTCCTAAAAACTGGTAATTCTTACATAAAATAAATGAATCATAATTTCAACAAAAGAATGGGAGAAAAAATAGTTTCTGTAAGTGAACTTGTGAAATTAGCTTGCGAAAATTTTGAACGTAAATTTGGCGGTGTTGCTAGATATTGCGGCTGTGCTCCGGGAAGAGTGAACCTTATCGGCGAACACATAGACTACAATGATGGTTTTGTTTTGCCAATGGTATTTTTTTATTTTTGATACAATAATGCTGAATAAGTTTGAATAACACGTGTGGCACTATTTTAAATAGATCAATAAAAGAGTAAAAGTAATTATTAATAATATTAAAAATTATAAGTGAATTCTTTCATAGTCTAACACTAAATTCTTTGTATTATTATTGATATCAATAACATTTTTATTTATTTTTATTAATGTATGTAACTATAATTAAAAAGTATAATATCTTGATACATTTCCTGTACAAGAGGTAAAAGAAATTGTTAAACTTAATGTGATAAAGTGCTAGTTTATTTTATTGAAACTGATTAAGGAACTACTATTACTACTACTAAGGTGCGTCTTAAGTTTACAGTCTTAGTGCTACTAGTAGATATTATACTACACTGATGTTATCTTTTATTACTTGAGTATTAGTTTATACAAAATATAATGATTTAAACTTGACAAATACCAATTACTCATTATGATAGTAATTCATAATACTTTATAGTATAGTAGTTTGTGATGAATAACACATTTTCTGCATAAAATAATTTATGTAAGATATAATCTTCTTTCATCTGTGTGTCTTAGGCTCTTCCTTTGGTGACGGTAATGGTGGGTTGCCCAACTAATTCTTCCAGATGTCGAGTTCTAACACTGTCCAATCATGCTGACCATTCCATGTTTGCTGAGTTTGACCTTCCTAGTCTTGAAAGCCCATTAAAGCCTGGAATTCCTGCATGGGCAAACTATGTTAAGGGTGTTGTCGCAAATTTTAATGGTACCTTTGACCTTAACCAGAATCTGTTATGTTTCATATGACAACAAATTACTGTAGTCATTTTAATAGGAAAAACATTTACAGGTGACATATATATATATATATATGTTGTGTTGGTTTCTAAACATAGATTATGACCAGGAAACTTGTATTGAAACACTTAAAAAGCAAATAATTATAGTACACATAAAGGTACTACCTCAAAAATTCAAAGAGTTTACATTTTATGGCTTTATTAGAGTCTAGATAAAAAAAAACTTAAAATTATCAAATGAGTGATAGCCTTGGAAAAGTTAAGAGATAGAAAGATACAATACACTGTACTTGTAGAGCTTATTAACTTAAGGAAAAGTTAAGAGATAGAAAGATACAATACACTGTACTTGTAGAGCTTATTAACTTAAGGAAAAGTTAAGAGATAGAAAGATACAGTACACTGTACTTGTAGAGCTTATTAACTTAAGGAAAAGTTAAGAGATAGAAAGATCAGTACACTATACTTGTAGAGCTTGCTTACTTGAAGTTTTAGTTTTGAGAGTTAGCAAATGATTGAAACAGTCCTGGAAGATCCATCAGAAATATCAAGTGAATCTCCTACCATATCTTTAACTTTGAACGTTACTAAATGACCCCAGAAGATTAGTCAGGAATATCAAGTGAATGTTCTAATACAGCTGTAACTTTAATAAATAACTGATATCTAGTAAGATTAGTTAGGAATGTTAAAACAAATGTTTTTCTTTGAGAGTTAACAATAAATTTCAACTCTTCAAAAGCAGAAATGTTGCACTGCTGCTTTTGGCTTTTTTCTATCTTAAATATGCATTAGGAAAACAATTATGTTTTACATGTTATCAAAATTGCCTAGATTCATGCTTACATTTACATATTGTTTCATTGCAAAGTAAAATAGTAAAACTTCTATTTATTATACTAGAAGAAAAGCCTCCCTATGGGTGGTTGTACATACTACTAATTAGTAATTGTAGTATTCATACCTCATTGTGAAAAATTGTAAAAAGAAAAAGCAAACTTTTTCTAAAAAATGATTTTTTTTTTCTGGGAAGTACTGCATGGGGAAAAGTGTTCAGATTGTGTTCTTTAGTCATACACAACTAGTTACATCAAAATGATTCAATGTATAGAACTCAAAATTTTCATAAATTTCAGTAATTTAAACCTAATATTTTATATATTAAAAGTGGTACCATTTATTGAAAAAACAAGTTTTCTTTATAAAGAATACCAGTTTCTCAGTACTACATTTATAAATTATGTCAATAAAGATCTAATCAAACCTTCACGTACAGTCCTAGTGAAAGTCATGTTCTTTTATTTAAGATTGTGTTCTGTTATAAAGAAATGGTTGTTATTTCTCTGATTGTCCAAATCTTGGATACCCAAAGTGTGAAATTTTTAATGGATTTTTGTTTGTTGTGACATTCAATAGATGATGCCACATTTCATAAGCTTCAATCACCATTTCAGCACAACAGATGGCACCAATGTATTTATTATTAAGGTCATATAAATAGATATATAGACGGCCATGCCATTGCTCCATTAAAGTAAGATATAACAATGTGAACAGTGTATGATAACAGCATTTGCTTTCTATTTTTTTAAACACAAAAATAATTTGAGTACTTGTATGTGTAGAATGTCTTTTATTACAATAACATTCAGAGAGAGATGCAAAATGTATGACCTTTTATTTTCAAAGGTCAGAGTGCTTCTAAATGCATATTGAACTTCACCAGATTTTCTCTTTTGTAGGTCAAAATTCTCTCTGTGGTTTTGATGCTGTGGTATCTTCTTCGGTGCCTGTTGGAGGAGGGCTTTCGAGCTCAGCTGCTTTAGAGGCAGCAACATATACCTTTCTTGAGGCTCTTTGTGGTGCACTTCCAACAGTTAGGTACTCTACTTCATGATAAAAATGGTATCAAGTTGATCTGTGACCTGAATGTGTTTGTTTGATTAACATTTGAAAAAGAAGGTATATCAGTACATTAATACCCAAATCACCACCTTGATAGATATTGTGTATGCCATTATAGATAAAAATATAAATGGTAGATTTATTTATCAAATTTCATTAAAATATCATAAAGAATAGTCATTACACTAGCCAACCCCTGGGGCTATGGCCCAAATTTACAGGGCTGCTATAATGCAAATTTAATTTCTTTTACCAAGTTACAAATGGGAATTAGTAGGCCTACTTATGTATTTGCTCCAATGTAAATCAGTGTCAAATTTGGATTCCACTTTTGGGGAATTCCCGTAAAAGTGTTTTTGCAAAATACCTGGGTTCCCTAAGGGGTTGGGTGAAAAGTTTTACTTTCTGCCAACTTTGGTGCTGAGGCAATTCATTTGCCACCACGTAGAAGTTGGTGAGTCCAGCAGTTTAGGAGAAGGGTTTTTTGGGCAATCCCCAGGTTCCCCAAGGGGTAGAGTGAAACGTGTTATTTTGAGCAAACCTCAGGACTGAGACGATTCATTGGGTACCATCTGGAAGTTGGTACATCCAGTGGTTTAGGAGGAGTTACGTGATAAACACACACTGAATCTTATTATGTGTAATGAACATTAAGAGTGTCAACCAATCAGAAGATGGTGTGCCTTATAAATATGCATGGATTCACCTGGTATTTGAACTAAGATAAGACATTTATAATTAGGGATGTAATGATATAGTGAAATACAATATATCATGATATTTTATACAACGATTCAGTGCATGATACATAGCTTTTATATTGTGATACAACAATAAACATGCAAAAGTACGCTGTAATTTTTTCATTTGCCACAGTTATTCACCTGTAACTTACAAAAGAAAAAGCTTAGTTTCACGATCCTGTGATTGTATGTAATTAGCATGTGGTGTATCCCAGTGTGCAGTAGGGACCAGCAAATGGCAGTTATGTCGATGTGAAAATCAAGAACCTGAAATTCAGATCCTATTGATTCTTTATAAATCAGTTGCGTGGAAATATTTTGTTTCCTGTCATCACAGAAAATGGCTTGACTAAACTTGACAAAAATGACATGTGAAAGTTTTGTATAACATGCATCAAATATACAGTTGGGGGGGAATACAAAGATTATGTTGATGTACACATGCTATCATCATGCAGAGGTCAATTTGTAGAAAATCAGGAATAAGAACAACCTTACTTCTTTGTTTTTATGGAAGTAAAATTAACATATTTTTTAATGGGTTTTTTTAGTGGATGGGGGGGGGGGGGGTTGTAGCTGTTTTAAATGCTAATAAATGGCATTTTGTTATTAATAAATAAATATGTTTTGTTTCAAATGGTTCTGTATGTTGACCTAAAAAGGTAACAGTTATTTTTATGTTAACAGAGATCTTTGTGTATCATGATACTTATCATACTGTTTATCAAATAGCATAATTATGATAGAAATATACATACAAAATTTCATCAAAATTAGATTCAAAATAAAGTTTCTAGAGTTTGTTGATCTGGACCAATCATAATACAGCTGGTCTGGACCAATCATAATGCAGCTGGTCTAATTAAATGCATAGGACCACTTGATTTTCAAACTTTTCCTGAGTAATTATGATATAAAAATATATGCAAAGTGTCATTAAAGTCCAAGGAAAATGAAAGACAAACAGACAGAACTCTTTGTTATATCATTAGTTTTTGTGTCTATATATTTATTGAACAAATATAAAAATATGTATAACCGTTACTAGAAAAACTATAATGTTTTTAAGAAAATTTACTTTTATGTTGAAATCTTTCTAATGTTGGTCTACATATATGGAAGACAGAATATACATGTTCATCTCCATTTTGAAAGTTAAGTCAGTTTTTTATGTATACAAAATATACAACAGTTTTTCTTGTTTTCTGTTCTGCAGCCTTACAGACAAGGCCCTCATATGCCAGAAGGCTGAACATGATTTTCCTGGAATGCCATGTGGAATTATGGACCAGTTTATTGCATTCATGGGAAAAATGGACCATGCTCTTTTAGTTGACTGCAGGTATGTTTGTCTACTTACAGTAAACATAAATATTGTTATGACAGCGGAGGTCACGTGATGCTAGTAACATGTCATATTCTCGAAGGTTCGTGAATGCTCGAGCGTTTACTAGATTTCGGTATTCTTGTACATATAAGACAGTCAAGATGTGATGGCAACAATGGTAATTGAACTGCGGACAGAGAGAGAGACGTATTGTTGAGTTGAGCACGTGAGATGTTCGTTGTGAATTATAGTGTTTGTTATAGCGTGACTGTGGAAATTAAGTGTATTGCAAAGTTGTATTTAGAAAGAATAAACCAGTTTTATTTAAGAAAGGACTTGTATTGCTAAAGTTTCTTCGGAAAGAAATTATACGGAAAATTAACTAACGAACAGAGACATAACAATATTAAAGCTTTATTATTATTATCAAAACATGTCATAAACTTCTATTAAACTCCCATTTTGAAGTGTGTTTTTATCTACCATGCAACTGTGTATTTTCCATAGCTTTCTTAGCATATGTTCATGACCTTATCATTTGTTTCCTTCTTTGGACCAATCTTCTCTTATTACCTAGTGTTCTAGGTTGACTTTTATTACTTTGTGCATCTTTTTTTTTTAAAAGTTGCTGATAGAGGGAGTTGTGTTCTGTCTATTTATACATGCTTTAAAATAAGTGTGTGTATATATAATGTGTATTTTATTTAAACATTTTTTAACATATGTTAAGATTTTTTGTTTTTGAAGTGAATTTTGAAACTAGATGAAACTGTCATTGTTACATTTATTCTTCAGTTGCTATTGTGTTGTTTAATCTGTCTTGGATCACTTGGTCTTTTAATTGTATTACTTTTTACTGTGGTTGAAATTTAGCTCAAGTCTTTGCATTTCCTACTTAAAGCTATTTCTGGTTATTTCAGTGTTAGGTTAAACTTCAAGTTTATGATATTAGTCATTTCAAGTTTATACTAGCTTAGCTTGTTTTGTGTTTCAGTTAACCTAGAATTTTTCAAAAGTTTTATGTGCTTTTGTATTAATTTTGAGTATTGTAATAATGTACCTCTTGTTAATTTGATTTATTTTATCTTTGGCCTTTACTCTGTCTACTCAAAATCGAGAAAATTGGGTGTTTCTGTAACTTTTATAAAATTTTTGAGTTTTTTTAAGCTTAGCTTGAGTTTGTTGTCATCTAAGTGTTTGGAGGTTTACACAATTCACAGTTTTACTAATTTTTTATCAATTATTTGTTAGAAACAATCTTGCTGATTGTATGGTGTAATGGTAAAGTTGGGACATAATTTTATTACTTTGTTAGTTTAAATGTGTTTCTGTCATCATCAGTCTTAGGTACACTATTCTTGAATACCTTCATGCAAATAATTTTATTGAGTTCTTTATGGCTGAGTTTCAGAATAGACCATTCTTGTGTTTCTCACAAACCAGCCAGGAGGCCTTAGCATCAGATAAGTCTAGCCTGAGATTGTGTACTCTGCCCCAAGACTAAGAGATGTACAAATTCACCTTGAGCTGATAGCTGTTCCTTCTTAACATTTCAGTTGGTTTCAGAGTAGACTTTCATTGGTTCATTGTGCATCTGGTTCCCAAAGTTAATTTAGCAGTAAACTTGATTAGTTGTTTTGTCCGTGGTTTGGTGTGCCTTTATTTGTACTTTTTTTGTGGCTAGAAATTATTATAAGGTTGCAGTACCTTATATATATCTTAGCATCTGAAGATCTTCATAATATCTTTGTTTGATGTTAACTTTATTTCAAGAATGAAGCTTCCAAACATTACAGGCATTTTACCTGCCACATATATATATTAATTTAATTTAGCAAAAGTACCCATCCCCAGTGACGAGAAAAGATTAAGTTTGTCTATCAATTTAAATTATTTCTTGGACTTTAAAAAAGTTAATTGTGTTACACTCTTGGTTTCACTCAGAGCCAAAGCTTTGAGTTACTTATACTGCCCATTGTGGAACGCAACTGTTGAGTATTTCAATCATAATAAGAGCCACTCAACAATAACATATGGTAAATGTTCATTTTTATTCTCTAAGTTATGTCACATATTGAAATGTGAATGATAATGTGATTAATTCCTAACAAGTTACTGTAGAATATCCTGCTTGTGAAATAAAATTTGGCATCAACATCATTCATGGCTGATCTCCCATCATTTCAAAAGTAAATGTTGACCTTTGTTTGTGTGCGCTGCTTTTCAAATGGGATACAGACAAACACTTGGATAGCCTCCATGGTTCACAATATATCTAAGATTTGTTATTTCTTTTGCAGACTCTTCTTGATATTCTCCATACAAACATTTCTACTTTTCTTTCACTTTAGATGCATTTGGGTGATTTAATCTGTTTCTATGTCTGACTAATTCTCTTGTAAGCTTTCTTCTCTGAGAATTGTATGCTTTAACTAGTTAAGTGACATCTTCTCAGTTTGAGCAAGATGTCAATGTGGTATCTTTCCTTATCAAAACCACACATTATAACCAGTAAAAGTGACAGTGTGGTATTCTATCCTTTCCTTATAAAAACCACACATTTTAACCAGGTTCTTTCCTGATTGAACCAACCTTATTGCCAGTTCAAAAGACATCTTATACTTCCATATTCTCACCATAATTTTAACCTAACTATAAGTCCCACCCAGTCTCAGTGATGTTGAAACTACTACTTGCTCAAGATTGAAATTTTGGCTGGACCACATGATATTATACCTCTTTCATATTCTAGTCAGATCAATCCAAAACATTCTTCCCATGTTCTAGTTGAAAACCTACCTAGTCTTAAGTGTCTTTGAACCAATTATTTGCCCTATCCTGATATCCTAGTCATTTTAAATAATATTGTACTTCTTCTGTGCTCAAGCCTGGAATCCTAGTCATTCCAAGTAATGTTGATTTATCAAGGAATATTTCCCTCTCTTGAAGTTGTTTTTATAGCTGTTCCAGTTTCTAGAATGCCTAGTAACGTCAGTGGTATCCATCTCAAAAGTTTAATTGGTAGTAAAATCCTTGTTTGTCAGCATTCTGATACAGAAGTACTGTACAAACTGTAGTCTCAGCTCATCAAGATGATGAAATAAAAGAAGTGGAAGAGAGGAATACCAAAAAAAAGGTTATAGATTAAGACTGAGCTTAATGTGATGGAGAAAGGTATCTATTGGTATATAACCAATACTTAATAGACATATAACCAATACTTATTAGACATACAACCAATACTTATTAGACATAATTTGATTTTTATTTAACATCATAGTGCTAAAACTAATCAATTTTTATATTTTAACGTACTCAACTAAATTGTTTTTGGTGAAAAATACCAAAAAAAGGGTGTAACTCGGGGAAATTCCACAAATATACACATTAATACATAATAAGGAAAACTCAATTATAGCTTCCAAAAATTGAGTGGTTTCCATTCTTTCAATAAGACACTCTTTGGTATCTTTTTTTAGTTACGTATATTAAAAAATATCAATTTATTTAAATTACAAGAAAAATGGAGTTTTAAGAATTAATATATATACATATATTATGTATAGAATTTAAAAAAAAGGAAACATTGTTTTTGGTGATGCCCAGAGTAGTTCTTACTGTTTTGGGTCAAAAATGATAAGAACAGTAAAATAGAGAAATTATAGGAGATAATGTATGTTATAAATATTTCTGCCTGTACTGTTGTCTTTACATACACCATGATGATGTTACCTGAGAAGCTCTATTACACTTAGTAAAAGGATTACAAGGAAACTTGGGAAGTGTAAGCTCTTGCTTCTAGTAATTAGATGTGTAATTATATATTAGTTTTTTCCACACACACAGCAATTACCTTATGAAATAATCATGTTGATTTTGTAAACTATTATTTTAAAATATGATTTCTTAAAGTACTAATGGCACCATGAAAGTAATTTATGTGAAAGAGTTGCTTTGAAATTGAAAGTGTTAAAATTAAACCAGTGGGAACTGCTAAGTCAGCAGGATGTACGTTTTTGTGTTTAGGTCATTGGAGTCCAGGCTTGTGCCATTTAAAAACCCAGAAGTTACTATTTTGATTACCAACTCCAATGTTCGTCACTCACTAACTGGCAGTGAATACCCCACCAGAAGGAGGAACTGTGAGGAAGCAGCTAGGATTATGGGTAAAAAAAGTCTAAGAGATGTAACGCTGGAGAATTTGGAAGGTAATGCTTAATACATTTAATAATTAGTTCTAAAAGATCACCATGTCTCAAACATTTATAATTTTTCTCATGTATATAAATCTAAATTCACATCATGATATTTTTAGTTTTCAGAAAATGTAGTTTAAAAAAACATGCACATTTGTTGAAGAAATACATTCATTTAAAATATATTTAGAGAAGTTTTAACACTGTTGAGAAAAAGTTCACTTTGTTCAAGTACATCATGCAGGAGTACATCAATTGATAGTTTGATGTTTAAGTACATTGTGCAGGAATACATCAAATGATAATTTGATGTTTAAGTACATCATGCAGGAATACATCATATTATCATTTGATGTTTTAGTACATTGTGCAGGAGTACATCAAATGATAATTTGATGTTTAAGTACATTGTGCAAGAGTACATCAAATGATAATTTGATGTTTAAGTACATCATGCAGGAGTACATCAATTGATAATTTGAAAATAAGCTACGTTAGGCCTTGTATCTACAAAAACCAGTTTGTCTCTCCATGAATATAGGCTTAAGAGAGTCAGAAGCAGAGCTTAATCCAAATGAATGTTATAGTCAAGGATTTGTAAACACCAAACACTTTTTATACTTCTTAAAATGCAAATTTATTCAGTTAAATAATTTGAATATCAGAGTAGCATAGAAATTGACATGATTAATATTGTAAAAGTTTATATGGATATTGCTTTAAGCATGTAACATTTACATTCAGAATCCCAGCACAAAAACATAACCAATAGGCAGTTGGTAGACACAAAATGTAAATTAACCGACTTACTTTTACACTTAAATTAACCAACTTACCTTTACGCTTAAATTAACTGACTTATCTTTACGCTTAGGAATATCTTTCACTTTAAATATTTCTCAACAAGTATCAGTGTGAAACCATTCATCCTGTATTTATTTTCTTCCATTGATATTATTAGCATGGCATGTAAAATTTGTTTTTCTAATTATTATGGGTTGCTTCTGTGTGTTTTGAAGGTAAAGAAACCACACACACACACACACACACAAAGTAAGTCCAATTAGTTTGAAGACCCCCCCTCCCTGAAAAAATAAAATCACAAACTCTATGGCTTCTATGGGGTAGAGGAGGATTAGAACTACTATTTCATGACTTTATGTCAATAACTTTGGTGTCAAACTGTAGATTATAATTCAAATTTTAGAACTATACATTACCCAATTTCTTAATTTAAAAGCTAATATTAAAAATCACAGATATGTTGAATGCAGCACTGGTTCAAAATTAGGTTTTTGTGAAGTCAAAATGCTAAGTCTGTAGTTTCATATGAATTACAAACTCAAATTACCAATATTGACAAGCAATAATCTATATACATATATAATGTATAATAATTGAGATGTCACTGTGTATTTTACAAAATACTAGTCGACTAAAACACAGCCAAGACAAGTTACTTTGTACAGACCTAATGTCATCTTTATATTATCTGATACAGTAACATAAATGCACGTGAGTCACTTCGTTGTAACTTCTGTATTGTTAGCCAGGCATGAGTGAAAAGTCAATATAATAAAAATGATAAATATATATAAGTGTATTATGTTACAAGATTTAAGCTATTTTGTCCAAACATTTATGTTTTTGTATATAATTTATGTTCATTCTAGAATGAAAGAGGCATAATTTATATTTATTTCCTAATTTTTTATGGTGGTTGCGAGATTGGTCAAATTTACCAAACCCATACAGAGATTAATTGCTGAAAATAACAGATAAAATATAAAGTTTTTTCTTAAAAGATGTTTGATAACTATCCAGACAAGATAAAGCTTTCGCCTGTGAAATTTGAAAATTTTCTGATGTATAAAAGTATTGTTACGTCTCTGTTAATTAGTTAATTTTCTGTAAAAATTCTTTCCGAAGAAACTTTACCGATACAAGTCCTTTCTTAAATAAAACTGGTTTATTCTTTTTGAATACAACTTTGCAGTACACTTAATTATCACAGTTGCGCTATAACAAATGCTATAATTCACAACAAACGTCTCACGTGCTCGACTCAACAATACGTCTCTCTCTGTCTGCAGTTCAATTACACATTGTTGCCGTCATGTCTTGACTGTCTTATATCTACAAGAATACTGAAATCTAGTAAACGCTCGAGCATTCAAGAACCTTTGAGAATATGACATATTACTAGCATCACGTGACCCCGCTGTCGTAACAGTATTTTAAATCTTAAAATGAAAATTACTTTGCATGATAGACAGGGAAGATGTGAAAAGAAAAAAAAAGACATGAGAAAATCATTGCTTTACAAACCAAGACTTAATGAAAAAAATTAGATATTTTGTGTATGAAAGCATTGTAGTATTTACTGATAAACTGCTAATTTTGTTAACATTTGCTTACTAATTTAAAAGTTATAGCATGAAAACTATTAAAAAGCACAAAATGGTTACGAGGTTGGTTCCAGGGATCAAGCCCATGCTGAAAGAGTTAATACTCATGTTACACCTTGTGGATTTGACATTAATACTTTGTAATTGTTACATAATGATGATGCCACTACATATGGTGAAGTGTGCTGTGGAACTTAATACTCCATGATGCTATTCAGAGTCCATGTATTGTATAACACTTTGTAACCAAAAACATAAGTTGTGGATCCAATAGGCCTAAAATTTTTGATGAAATCATATTAACTGCAGATTTGTTTTCCTTATTCCTTTTAATTTGTCCAGTGTGGATTCAAAATCAGAGGTTTGTAAAAATACCATTTCAGATCTATCTGTTGTCTCCCACAAGTCACTGTCCAAGAGGCTTTTCAAACAACACCAAAAGTCATCAGTTGAGCTGGACAATGAGAGAAAAAAGAAATCTCTGAAATGCTATTTATATTTGCTATATAATGCATTAAAAATGGCGGTTTAAATGTTGAAAGCTGGCAAAGTATTAGAAACATTTAGATCTAAAATTTATGGTAAAAGTGATGTTAATTGCAGATTTCTTTTTCCTCGTTTCTCTTAATTGGTCTATTGTAGATTCAAAATCAGAGGTGTATAAAAATAGCAATTCAGATTTATTTTTAGTTTCGACAACTCCCTTCTATGAGATGTTTTTTTTAGTGCTGGTACTTGTCAGTTGGATAAGATAATAAGAGAGAGAATTTTTTGTTTTTCATGGTCATTTTATTCTAGTCTGAGGGGCTGGGTGTCTGAGTGAGGGTTGTGTCCGATCTTTGGCCAAGAAATGTGATGAAACTGCCGATTGATAGTGAATAATGGGCATGTAAGTGTATCAATTCATGATAACTGAAGTGTGAATGTAGTTATAATATGGAAAGGAAGTTTTTTTGTTTTTCAAAGAGGGAACAAATCTGAAAAAGGTAGAAAGAAAAGTACCATTCAGTTTTCTGGATAAAGATAACTGAGTACATTTGACATTGAGATGCCCACATGATTAGGATCATCTCCTGGAAGTGACATATCATCCTGGTTTCAGAGATGATCAACTGGTGGGAAGTGTCCAAAGAGGATGAATATTATGGCTGAGGGCATAAAAAATATTACATTTTGAGAGAGTAAAAATTGATGCTAAGTTTGATGGATGTAAAAGTATTGGAGGAATTTGATTACCATACATTTCTTATTGTTGGACTAGAAAGTGTAATTGTTACGTCTCCGTTCATTAGTTAATTTTCTGTAAATTCGTTCTGACAAAACTTTAGTGACACAAGTCCTTTCTTAAATAAAACTGGTTTATTCTTTCTGAATATAACTTTGCAACACACTTAATTTCAACATTTGCGCTATAATTCTCAACGAACGTCTCGCGTGCTCGACTTAGTTCAACAATACTCACTCTTTGACTGCAGTTCAATTACTCATTACCTCTCTTGTTCCGTCACGTTGTGAACATCTTATATATACAAGACTAACACATATCTAGTAAATGCTAGAGCATTCATGAAGGAACAGGATATTTCTAGAAACAGGTGGCATGATACTAGTCACGTGACCTCACTGACGCAACACTGCCCCCTCCTTAGTATTGTTCGTCCCGAACAATAGCCACTTACAATAAACCAATAACAGTTAACAATAATTTAATTAAATGTACAGAATTACAAACACAAAATTACAATTCAAACAAATTTTATGGGACATATCTTCTTCCGTACTGGTCTCCGTCTCGTTGGCTTCTGCTTCAGGTGGAGTTCATCTGCTTCATCAGGAAATGTCCTATCGTCAATAACAGTCACATCAGTGGTAGTAACTTCATCAAGGGCTTCACCGTTTCCCTTCTCGAAACTGAGTAGAGTTTCTTCCTCGACAGTGGCTTTTTCAGATGACACTTCTTCAGCAGCGTCATTTGTTCCTTTTTTCACTTCATCCCAACTGAAATGTCCTGGACCGTGATAACGCCAAAGCCTGTTGGCATGCACCACTTTTGGCTTACCTCGCCGACCACATTTTATCCGGAAAGTCACGTCTGAGACTAAAAAAATGGTTATTTTCATATAAAATTCATCCACTAAGGTTTATTTTTATTGGTTTACTACTATACTAGAACTAGCTAAACTCATCTAATGTTATTGAACTGTGTATTTGTTTTATGTTAATATAAAGTAGTTAAGAACTGATGTTGTTAAATGTAGTTCTCAAAAAATCTAGATAAAATGATGTTGATAAATTTTATATAAAATTAATTCCACTTAATTTTTTTTGTTCTTACTTGATGGATAAATGATTATTACTGCATATACATTCACTATTATTCATTTCAGAAAGGCTGCTATTGTCCAAAGAGGAAGAAGTTTGAGCTGTGATTTGGTGAAAGAAGTTGCATAGAGTGAATAGATACTTAGCAGAATAAGTTCAAAGAAAGTAACAGTAACAACATCAACAGTCTGCAAAGTTCTGTTCATTATACAGTCTGTAAAGTTATGTTCATTATACAGTCTGCAAAGTTCTGTTCATTATACAGTCTGTAAAGTTATGTTCATTATACAGTCTGCAAAGTTCTGTTCATTATACAGTCT